AACACACAATTTTCCTAACTGTAAGTGTTGATTTCTGTGTTGTTTGCTGTAGGAGGCTGGAGGACATGAAGGTAGAAAACAAAGAGATGACTCAGGCTGTCTCCTCAAAGGAAGCCAGTATCCAGTGTATTGAGCAGCAGCTGGATGAGAAGACCCGCGAGTGCAGCGTCCTGTCCAAACAGCTACAACAAACTCTGGACGACGCACAGAGACAGGTAGGAAACTATATACTGTAGTCACTTCCTTTACCTGTCCACAGTTTGCCCGTCCTTCTTCTTTACTTGCATGCTGTTTGTATTTTTGCAGTGCAGTTAAACCCTTACATTTTTCCTTGGTGACTATTTGATAGGCAAATTTGGCTCTAAATTGTTTTTTATGGACTGCAGAGATCTGACTATTGATCTGATTCTATCTGAGTCAGTATTGAATCAAGCAATGAAATGAACTGAAACAGAACAAAGCAGAGTAATAATCCACAAGTTCCCAATAGTTTTACACATACACCGGAACAAAAATCACAATATCTTATTGTCTCTGTTACTCTTTTAATAACTTTTTATTGCAATGTTCATACAAGAAACGCCAACCCAGAAAGCCACAAAAAACATTGTACATGTACATATCTACAGTGCCACTCAACAATGAATCTAAGTAGAATAATGATAAATAATTGTGTCTATAAACTATATATTTGTGTAATATGTGTATGTGATTTGCTTACTCTGACTCGGATGTCTGACTCTTTCTCAGAAAATTCTGTTTAGATTTCCTATTCTGAGTATTTGGGTTAATACTAAAATATTGCAGTGAGTATAGTGAGGAAAACTTCAGCTCAATTAGTTTTTTTCCCTTCTGGCCCACAGGTAGACAGCAGCATACAGAGGGTTTTGGCCAAAGAGAGAGCGTCTCAGTCTAAAGCTTTGGACCTGCAGAGCCAGCTGAGTCGAGCCAAAACAGAGCAGACTCAGCTACAGCGAAGCAAGGAAGAGGTACGTCACTGTGTCCCGTCTCCAAACATTCAACAGTGCTAGAATGTAAATAAGTACATTTACTATACTTCTGCATTAAAGTGAAAATCTGATGCTACTTTATACTTGTACTCCACTACAATTCAAAGGGAAATATTTAGCCTGTGTATTCGCAAGAATCTGGCAATACAGTACGTATCACGATAGAGGGGTTACAATTCAATATATTTTGATATATTATGATAATACGAACACGGCAATAGTCATAGTATAAAGAACACACCACCATTTGTAAACAATCTGAGTTAAAAGATGCAATCAGAACAGTGGGATCCACATTTGTATTTATCACAGTCATAAGTCGTAAGATCATAGCCCTCCGCTGATGTTTACAGCTGTTGGGGGTTTAAACTATTGACTGTTT